GAGCCACTCCCAAGAATTTTTGGTACAAGAAATATTTAATAGCTTTATACCACAACATAATATTAAGAAATACTGTGTTGTTTAAAGACATTTCTTAGTTTCAGATGCTTTTGCTACATATTTGTAAATGTCACTAGACTAAATGCAGGTACTTCTTATGGAATGTTTATGACGCGCCATATTCCTACCTGAAGTTCCATACTTAGTCTTAACCTCAAAATTATTTTTCTGGCCATGTTTATTATTCTTAAATTATCATATACCTCACTAACCTGCATGATAGCCTGACCCGTACATGCGCTGAATTATATCTCCATGTCTTAAATCTAAGAATCATTGGAATCGCATTTAACACTCTTTATTAAACCTAATATGGTCGTTAACGTTACAGATTTCTGATGATTTTGAACCACCTAAAGTAACAATACCTATTTTTCCACTGGCTAATCCTCAGTCAACACTATAACTAGTTGAACATAATGGTTTCAGAATATCGTCATAAAGCATCGTCATGGCTTGACAATCGCCTAATATGATTGATAAAATTGATGGAACTAATAAAAAAGTCGGCCAACAAATTGACTTAAAATTATCGTAAATAATGTTGTTTTTGTTTTACCTTCATTCACTACAGATGATTACAGTATGTTTCTCTATCAGTTGCTCATTCAGTAAATATCTCAAAACCTTGTCAATCTAATTTGAGGTTTAGCTACACAATCATGATTGCAAAGCATCAGTATAAGCGGTCGAGCAAATCTCCTGCAAACTGAAAACATCACAGTCGAACTCACCTCAACACTGAATAAGGTTCAAGCCATCGTCATAGACATGAGTTGGGAGCGTACTCCCCTTGGTTACAACTTGTGTTCTTCCTGATAACCACATGAACATCACTCACCGTTAATCACCTTGTGAAGTTTTATTTAGACGGAAGCACCATGCATCATCACAGCACCTATGTTTATGGCACATAGGCTTGATCGGTTTAAACAGTTCTTAGTCACTATTTGTAACTAACTTATGTGAAGCTCGATTCTTGCAACTAATCTTAATGCACCATCAGCTGGTGAACATGAATATAAATAACATTGAGCCTAGAGTGTTTCTTTTACGGATACACTCACGTTTAACTAATTGCTCTTAGCTAACTGTCCAAATTCGCATAATTATCACTTTTAATGTATTAAAAATGTTTTTAATAACCATTCATATGTATTAGTAGTATTACTAAATCATATCACGGTCTAGTAAAAATGAGGTCGAGAAAATCTCCCCAAAATAAATAAACCGTATCAAATCCGCTGGAACACTAGTTGAAGTTATTCTTCTCCACGGTAATACATTTGGAGTTTATTCCTATTGTTAATTTGGGTTCGTAAGTTGAGAATAGATCGATATACCGTACTTCAATAACAGAAATGAGCAAAAGCTTGGATGTAACATAAAGTTCTTCAGTTATTGGTTCTGTGTTCATACCTTGGATTTATTTGGACATTTTGGACCAAATTTTCTGGTCCTATTGATCGATTTCGTGTGGATTAATTCGGATTTGTTTTGGTAATCGATTCTTTTTTGACCAAGGCATACGATGGAAATGCGAAGCAAAAGACCTAAGGAAAATGACGAGATGGAAGGTAAAATTTCTAAAGCTGTTTGTGGTATGTCTGATGTTAATGATGATAAACGTGATGTTAGTAATAATAATTTGTCCTCTGATCAGCTTAGTACTTCTAGATTAAGGTTAGGCAAGGCATTACTAAGGAAGAAAAATTTAGAAAAGAGACTTGAGTTAGAAAGTCAGCTTAAGATGTTAAATCTCCAAGAAGAGGTTGATGTGGCTGAATTAGAATGTAGGGTCATAGAGGGCGATAATCCGCTGTCCGTGGACAAATATGAGATAAATACTAAGGTGGAAAGGTATTTGGATTGTGATACTGGTTGTAATAATCATTCAAGGGAGATATTTAGCATATCAAAAAGCGATCGGGTTGATGAGTTGAAGGATACGTTACATACTATGGTTAATAATATGGTTTTACCGAAGATTGATATGATGTATTTCGATGGACAACCGAGTCAGTACCGCCGTTTTACTAGCTAGTTTACTAGCATTATCGAAAGTAAACTGACCGATAGAGGCCAATTGTTGTGATATTCGTTATACTATTGTAAAGGAAAGGCAAGGACGGCTATTGAAGCCCGCATTTCTCTGCCCAGTCATTTGGGTTATGATAGAGCTAAACAAATTTTATATGATCTATTTGGTAAGGAACACCTTGTCGCTCGTGAAATGATTACTGAGTTACTTAACCACAAATCTGTCGAAGGATTTGCCGATAGCTTAACTGACTTCGCAATTAAGCTACGTCATGCATGCATAACATTGAAGGAAACGAGACATATGACTGGGGTGAATTACACGGCAAATTTGGATATAACAATGTCGTGTCTACCACCAGAACTACAAAATAAGTGGGCGAGACTTGCCGATAAGATTATGATGGCCGAGAAGGAGCCGAGCTCTAAAGAATTTGTGATCTTTGTAGAAGAAAGAGCCAGGCTTGCTCGGACACGTTTTGGTAGATTGGTACATTGTAACTCAAAGTTCAGTGAAAGTAATTAAGAATGCCAAGTTGATAAGAGATCACGCTTTAATGTAGTTAAGCGGGAACCAAGCAACTCATTCAAGGCTTTCAGTTGGGAAATTTTCTTTGGTGATCACAAAGAGACAGTGTACGAAGTTATCGAAAATAAATGTTACGGAAAGGAGACTTTGTCACGTGATATTTGACAGGTCATGGAACATTATGTAACCAACTTACATTAAAAGACAGGCTCATTCGGCAGTGGTCGCAATCTGTTGTCTGTTCCTGTTGAATTATGGTCCCTTATGATATTAGTACTGCTCTAATAATAGACCCAATCCTAAAATTGTACATTTGTCATGATGTAATTGCTTATCTATAATATCTTACGTGGAAGTCGTATCATTGTCTACACCGACTCATCATGTCGTAACAATTGCCAGTATATGATGGAGAACATATTCAGGCTGGAGATAGAACAATATATTTAATATGAGTGATAGCAAGTTGCAGAGATTGACCACGCCTGCAAGGCCGAGCCATGCCGTTCGACTACTTCGAACTAACCCTATTCATTCTTTCCGCCTTCTCCATCATTTGGTTTTCCTCTGATTTAAATATCGAACACATATTTTCTCAGTCGTCTCGTGTTCAGCTTTGAAGATTGTGTGGTTATGGCCCAATGCTAGTACATACCTACCCATCATAATATATTTCTGTAATGACTTCATTTGTGATGTAAGGTCATCAAAGTATCTATCGTACTTTGTTATGACGAGACTTTAGTCTGCGCAACGTACTAACTGTTAGTTGTGACTTTGTAATAACTTAGGTTGAGTAGTTATGAGTTGACCTAAAATAAATAGACATATTTCAAAACAATAAAGCTCACTTCCATATTTTGTATAGACATCATATTTCTTTGTATTTTTGTACAGGCAACTCCCGCCTCACGGTGTGCTGTTACACTAGCCAGTGATCCTGGCATTCAAATGCTGTTAACATCATCAGTAAAGATGACGTGATAGACACTACAAATGAAACACTGTACAGGACATGGTGAAGCTTAGGATTATATTTGCATCCTCGGTTTCGAAAGTAACCACTAACACTCTGTATTCAGTTTGTGACCAAACCACCAATACAGGCTGATTTACGATAAGACTCCTTATCTTCTAGGCAAAAATGTAGTGATTTAATGACTTTCTGAAGGTCCGGATTCCGAAAACATACCTAGACTTTCTAGATCAGATGTCTGTGAAATAGATATTTGAACCGATTATGTGTGTCTCTGAAAACATGGGTTCATTTCATAAGGAAGATGCAGGTGACTTATGAAAATCATTTAGTGTAACCCTTTAATTTAAATGGCGGCCCTCATTACTAAACGCGGGGACCACTTTACATTTATGTGATCCAGACGCGTACTGATGGGAGAGTTAGACATAGAAGTAAATCAAACCCAGTCTTTCTACTGATGGAGTACAGATAATAAAATAATGGGGTGAGGAAGGGACTAGTTAACTGAAAAAGCGAGCCCATAGGGCTTCTATATCTACATAAGACTTCATCTGCCAAAAGCGTCTCTCAAACACGTTCTAAATTGACCTCGCATACGGATATCATGCTTAACAAAATAGGTAGGCTACATTAAAGGAAATCTTGGACAGGTACACTGAAAAACCTGTTCTGAGTTATAGATAAATACTACCAGTGAATTTTGGCTGAATGTTACCGGTCAGTTTAATTCACAGTATTGCCTAAGATGTTCAGAACTTCCAATTAGTCACTGTTTGCGAATGTGGTGTTAAATTGGCGAAAATCATCAATCCACGCGAGCTGATTCCTTGCAATTATTAAGTTTTGTGGCTTTTGGAATTCTTACCTCGTTTATCACAAAAAAAATTTCAATGTTTCCAACTGAAATTATCTCGTTATCTTTCTCGAGAGTCCCGTCGACAGCAATTAAGTGGTGTGGGCGAAGAACGTCTTTAAAAGTGGCACCTTTATAATCGATGTATACAAACTCAGCCAGACCATGAGTCGGGAATGGAGTTCGAAGATATATTTGGCAGGCTATCGATTTGTCTATTAGCGTTTAGTCTAAACTGGCTAGTAGTTGAAAGGGATGCGTAGCATGGCTTACCAACCCATAGTTCGGTGTGAATGTCTGGCCAAGCAACGTTAGCTGCGGTGTGTCCATAAAGATCAATAAGGTCAGCATCAATGTCGACGACCAACAAAACTATTTTTTTCGGGGATTTATTTACTATTACATACCCAATGTACTTCGTGTCCTCATATATAAATTCACACATAAAAACGAAAGTTTACTGTTTAATTTACTTTTGATCCACCGATAATTTATAATCAGTGCCTAAAATCACTATTTGAAGTACTTGTTTTTCTATATCACAACCTAAGGTTTAAGAAGTTGCGCCTTCTTCAGATCTTAGATGGTATTAACATTTTCATTCTCACCTGCATCGGTTGTGGAACCTGACTGCTTACGAAATGTAGTTAAGTTGGCAAGAGAAAACAATTTACTTCTTTCGGAAGAAACTTGCTGGTGCTTGCTGGACTCATGTCTGTCGAAAATTCCGTTGAAGAAAACTTACCAACTTCTAGATGAATGTACGTTTGCCTGACTACATGTTTACCGTCATTTAGTATACAGTACTGAAGAGCTAAGGTTTCCAGAAGGTAGCGAGTTTGCAGTTGAGTCCATACGTGCCAGATCTGTTAACAAAGTAATATCACATTTTCGTATTCATAACTCCAGGGTGTTGTTTTCTATTATGTAAAATGGGTTGGGTGGCCACCTGTGTTCAATACATGGGAACCAGAATCTAATCTTCATGGATGTGAGGATTTAATACAAAAATTTATTGAATCTTATGGTTCGACGATTGGAATGCTTCCGGTATGTTCTGTTGATAATTAATCATATATTCAGCCTGATAATCAACCTGATAGAAAATCACAGGTTCAGGAAGTAATGGATCGATTGAAGGAAGCTGTCAATACATCTGGGTCGCTACCATTATATCTACTTGAACGATTTTCTAGTCTCCAACCTGATCCTACTAATAGCCTTCGACCATACAAACACTTACCCACCATAAACATCGAAAAGCTTTTTTCATCACAAATATCACAAGGCATTATAGAATCTATTTCACTCAAGCGACCTCCCAGTGTCGCTGATCTCTTGCCAGTTTCTACCAAACGTATTCGTCTTAGTCGGAAAGATAAACAAGTGTTAGATTCTGCTCTAAGTGCTTTTCAACAAAAACTCAACACTGTATACTCAAATGAAGCACCAATCACTGTCGAAAATTCTGTAGATTCTGAATGTGAGTCCCTATTCTTACGTATAAGTTTGTCTAGCAATGTATTTTAATGAATCATTATGAAGCTAGATTTCTGTTTCCATCAGACATTCGCACTTAAATGTCTTGTAAAAAAAAATGTATATTCACTCTATGGACAAGCTGAGATGCATTTATTCAGTGCTTGCTGCATTTATTAGTCATTAAGAAGTATTTACTAAACCTAGTTACTATGCTTTTAGTAACCTTAGGATTAGGATCAGTCAGCGAGGTCGAAATGACTATCTGATTTGCTAGTGAATAAACTGCTTAGAATATCTTTCATATTAAACGAGTGAGGCCGGTAAATTAAGCGTACAGAATAACGCTGCAAGCATACTATGATCGCCTGAACTTCCATGATAAGGTGGTCACCACAACAGCTTTAATTCTCACACATGCGATTGGTACAGACTGGTTCTGAAACATTTTGTTCTTAGTATATGAAATACAACCCAAATATCTTTTTGATCTTACTCAATGGATCTATAAGACTACATTTCATTAGCATAATCAGATAGTGTCGTTGACATGCTCCCAGTCAACAAGATAGTGTTCAGGTAAGTTATTATTTAATTAACCTGACGAGGGGTTAATTACCTATAGGAGCACGTTTACAAAGAAATCAAAGAAAATCGGTGAACAGTGAGTCGAGTAGTCCTGACGTACACCTGAAGTTATCAATCCCAATGACAATTCTCCATAAGCTCTGATTTGACCATCGGTATTCAAGTAAAGTCCTTACAGGGTTGGTGTATTTTGGCAGGCTTTTTGATTCCCGACACTACCACAGGATCTCTCGATCAACAGAGTCAAATAATAGCTTAAGGTCAAGGGATATAACTGAGGTCAGATGTCAGAAAGTATGTCTATATTCCAAAACCTGACGATCAATATCTCATTAAAACCTAGTTAAAGTAGTTGATCTTCTGTAGCTTCGTTTAGCATTTTGCGTTTTAGAATTGTTTGTCCATATAAGCAACAATGCTAGCGAATTAAAATAAGTGAGGGTAGTTAACTAGTGATGTGAGCAGTTGTGACTTCGAGTTGATAATAGTCTTTGATATGGATTATTACTTTTTCGGCAGACTGCCTCTAGCAATCAAACACATGACAACGTTAGCTTATTAGAGTACTAATTGTCGGTTTTTGTTGAACATTTTATAGGTATCTCATAAATACAGTCAGTCAGTCATTCAGCTACAACATGGGACCAGGCACATCTAAGCATCGGTCCAAGTTGCCATACCTCGTTAGCACAACAAGTTAAATACAGAATTCATAGAAGTAGTTAATTCAATGGTGATAATATATAAAATATATATAATATATAAAAGGAAGACTGCATATAAGGATATGGTACAGGAAGAAAGAATTAGTTGGCAGAAAGAAAGATATAAAGCAATTTTAATCTCACGGTTTAAGGGAAGACAGAGTGTATACACCGATGCCATCGTGATCGATTCTGAACCGTTTAACCCAGTCTTCAACCATTGGTTACAATAGTGACGCGGACCCCGACCAAGTAGTCTGCATGTAACTGCATGGCTCAGACAAGAAGTTAGTGACTTCAAGCACTGATGCCACGTTTTGGTTTGACCGCCCCTAACTTTCTTCCAACCATTCCCCACACTAGTCAGCATTGCGCGTCGTGGTAATCGGTGTTTAGGCATACTCAACACGTGGCCCAACCATCTCAGTCGGTGAAGATTTACAACCTCATCAACTGATATACCATCATTCCCTAATACCCTGTGTCTAACCTCACTATTACCCAGTGGTCCCAGCAGATGTTGGCCATATTTCTAAGGCATATGTGGTCAAGTACAAGTAACTGACGAGTATTTTCTACAGTTAATAGCCGTTTCGCGGCCGTAAAGTAAAACAGAACGAATTACCGCGCAGTATACTCATCCCTTGATTGATAGACGGATATCTCGCCTTCTCCATAGTTGACGTAAGTTGGAAGCCACTAGAAAGACATTTGTCACACATTTTCACGCCATGTAAGCCAATGTTTCAAGATGGTAACATGGCTTGAATTATCATCACTGGACACAAACACGTAGAATCCTCTGGAGATAATGATGATCAGGTATAAAACGTGGCCAAATATACTCAACCCACAGTGTCCGGGTTTCCCAAACATAGGTTAGGAGTGCTCTCACAAACACTTTGTAAACTTAATCTTTTACGGCCAGATTAACATCATGACGGCGCTAAAGATGGTTCATATTGGCTCAAGCTGCTCTGCCTTACACCATACGTTGATTGACCTCATCTGAAATGAAATCATCAACCCACACAACTACCTAGGTTCAAGGACGTTTCGACTATTTTTAAGAGCTCTATAAAGAGTGAGTATAAGCATCAGCTGCTGCCAGTCTTGTAAAAGTACTTTGCATTCGGGAGGTGTACGGCATATAAGATTTCTACGGATATTGATTGCTCTTATTACCAAACCTTTTCAAAGAACCCAGCCAGTTCCCTAATCGGAAGTTTGGCACCATTCTTACAAAAGGTTGAGGTTAACTCGTCTAGGTTCGATTGTTTGTGGCGCTTCAGAAGATGGATTCTCTTGTGGAGCTTTGTCTCATTAGATGTATCAGCCGTCACTGATCACGAAAGGAACGAAAGTGATTGATGTTGTTGGGTAGGGGCGAATGGGCTGGACTGTCTCTTGAAGAACTCTGTCCATCGTCCAAGATGTTGAGCGTTGTTGATTAGGGTCCTAATAGCTTCATAAATTGTTTCACTCACTCCAGACTTACTGATGTCTTTGGCTCGGGTGAATTGACAGCTCCCGACAGTTGTCTGATGAAACTCTTGCTTCCAACTCGCATGTTTCGACTACGAGGCCTCTCAGTCCTTAAGAAAACTTTATACAATTACCTTGTGTAAGAGTTTATTTTTATTGCCACGCTCCTGATTAGCTGGAGTTGACTGACGCTCGTCAAGGGGTTGTAAGGAGACTGTAAAAAACCAAATCTTAGGAGCGAGATGTTTTGCGAAGCCACAAGCAACCTTAATCGGCATTTTCATGGTATCATGCAAATGCAGACAGTGCTCATATATACTTTTCGGTGGGTTGATAGCTAGCCTTAAATCTAGTTTCGTTTGATATTGGGTTACGGCTGATGGTGTACCCAATTTGCTTACACCAATTCATATAGGACGAAAAGTTTGTGGGCTACTAAAACATAAGATTGATGCAAACCAAGTGATGTTCAAAGTCCGCACAGTTATTTCAAAAGAAGTGAGTCTTATATATGATTACACCAATAGTAGCTGATCTCCACGTAGTCGACTTAAGTTCGGGCTTAAGTTGCTGAGGAAGGACTCAATGTAGTACATTGGTGATGACTGTACCGATAGTTGGTAGCTGGAAACAATTTTGTCTGCACAATACGTCAGGAGATGGTCACCACTATCTGACCAACGTGACCCCAAAGATTATTCAGGCGAATTTCCTATGTTCCTAAATGCCTGACTTGTACATTAAAGTTTCTGGTTAGCACTATAATAATGTGCTTTCTTGAAGGGGGCCAGCAAACTGTTGGTAGAACTCATCCTTCGTTGCATCTAAGCTGTAATCTATCAGAACGTAAGGGGAAATGAAGAAGAGACATCGTTTCCCATTATGATTTTACCTCACTTTGATAAATCTCTAATCTGGTGGCGCATAAATGACTGGTGATTGGGATTCGATCGATTAGCGCCACCCTTGCTCTGGAGCTTAGAGGGACACCAACGCCAGCTTATCCGAACGAAAATGGCACAGGATCTCCAGATAACCTCACATGAAACAAGTTTTTCGAATCGACAGGTAGAGCATCACATTTGTACTACTTCACTGGAGTCTTGAATCCGGACTTCACGTACAACGAGTTGCTGTTAAGTAGAGAGATTTACTGATAAATAAACTCCTAGGAGTTTAAGTAGATCTTAGATTCCCTTCAATCGATATTCTTACAGAAAATACCTTAGCTCAACAACAGAATCGATCTTGACGAGAGACTAAACGTCTATGGTAAACATATGATCAGAGTAGTACTAGATCGTTTCCCAAATTTTACATTTTGCAACGATCTCTTTTTTCAAAATTAGTAGTTTATCTATTCAAAGCAAAAGTCAGTGAGATGTAGTTGTAGTACACTCACATAGTGTTTCTGACTATCACCTAACGGAACTTCAAATAAATTAGTAGGACTTTTTAACTGTGACTATATGAAATCACATGCTTGCCCCTAAATGCCCTGGTATGGCCGAGAGTGGGGTGGGCCCGCCTTCCCTCTCTAAATGCTCTCACATGGCCACGCGTATACAGCCTCTGTCAGGGAAGTCCTACTCACTACCTTCTCGTGGCTGGGGTGTCGTTTACGAAAATGAGAGGACGAAAAGCGAATGTCCGGCGCTTTAACCGGATTCCAAACCAATGGTGCACATGGGCTCAAGTATCCTGAGGGAACAAATGGCGTATGAACCAATCGTTGGTCACTGGCTTCCATGGGACTGCATCTTCTTACGATGCCCCACTGCTTTGTGGATCAGACCTTCAGGTCGAAGGCTCGGAGAGTGGCCCCCTAAGAAAACCACCTGCTTCGGTTTGGGCACCCGGGCAGTATCACAGCCTACACACATTTCGAATGAGGTTTGTGTGGCGCATATGTATTTGGTGCCTCATTGTACCAATATCTGTGTTAAAATAAATAATAAATAAATCACATTTACTGTAGTTTTGAATATGTATTTGTCTAGAGTTGGGAACCCACTAATCATACTGTTGGTACAAAAGATCCAGTCATTTTTGTAGAAGATAATACATATTTTACTTTTTGTAGGTTAGGTTTATCTAACCATATTCAGTGCCTAACACTTTAGATTTATGACAAACATTATTTTAATGTTGTGTAACATTGTAATTAGATTGTTAATTATTTGTAACCAAAGCCGTCGTTATGCATATGACTCAATTTAAATATCTAGGAATCCTTTAGACTTTAATTCTGATATCTAAAAATTATTTCCACTTCAGGCCCACCAGTTGAATTCCAGCCGATTCCAGATTATTTACCTGGACAAGATGTATTCTTACCAACCAAAGCTCCTATTGGATGTGAATGTACGATGGACAATTTGGATCAGTCAGAGCTAGCCAAAATTCGTAAAGCAGATGGAAGCAGTTCACCAGTTATATATCCTTGTTGGATCAATAAACGACGTAGTTGTTGTGCTGTTCGTGCTGGTGCAGTTCCACCCTATGACAAACGGAAAAGGCTCGTTGCCCCTCCTGGTCATCCTGTTTATGAATGTAACTCCTTGTGCGTTCACTTAACATTATTTATGTATATTCTATTTGATTTTTAACCAATATTCATAGTTGATGAAAATTTATTTACCGATTACGATTTACTATTCATGGATTTAGGATTATGATAATCCCTTTGTCATTATTTGAAATATCAATAACTTATTTCATCTGTTTATTTCGGTTACCTTTATACAATTAGTTTAAAAACTTGGGAGTGTGTTGTTTTATCTCACTATCCTTAACTTTCATATACACGTTTCTTGTCACTAAAAAGACTTTTTGACTGTTGATATATTTTTTAATTTATCAGGTAGATTTATTACCAGAAGACTTAAAAAACGACATACATGTTTTTGCTCTAATTCAGTTTGATTAACCCTAGCAAAAATTGTTAATAATTGGAGCTACTAAATGATCAAAACATTTTTCTAAAGAACTAATGTAGTAGGTTTTAAGAAAATATTAAATTATAATCAAACTTACTTAATCTACATTGGACTCAATCAAAAGTGTAAACATTGTTTGGTTGACAACAAGCGTTTTTACATTTTATAATTGATTGCTTCTAATTAGAATATATATGTACCATAGATTTTTTTATTCAATCACTAAAATTAGTGACATGATACTTTATATTTAGTAGTACGATTTTTGATCGAGAATTATGTTTGTTTTTTAAGGTATTCATCTTGTTCAAATGGCTAATAAATCTTAAATTTATTCATTAACAGTGTTTCCTTTATTTATTTCATCAGATTTTATTCCAAATAGGTATCTAGAAAATAAATTTATGTAGCCCACTATTTAGTGTTTTATAGGTTCATTGATAAATAACACTAATGTAATTTGTTATTGAACGTTGTTGTTAGTCTAGACGCTTTCCCTATATATTATACAATTTCCCCCGAGTATTATGAACTGTAAATAAGCGTTTAATCCACCATCGTTACAAATTGTTTCTTAGAAATGATTGGGTTTAAATTATTGTGTTTTGGTCACTTAATATCTAGACTTTCTTAACTTATCAAAGTATGCTATTAACTACACTTCTGTACAGATGAATTGTAATAATCGTGTATGTAAAGTAAATTGACATAACGGAATTTAAACTCAGTTCAGCAGTTAAAAGTTAAGTATATCCATTACAAAACGATATTCTATGCATATTTAAATGGGTTCTAAATATTTCACAACCCTAAAACCTAGTTACTGGGTCACTAAAATCGTGTATATGAAATTTTCGAGTTTTGTCGATGTAGTCTATTCACTTTTATTTTTTAATTCATTTACCAAGTACGGACTTGTGTACTTGGCTTCGAGCCATACCCCAAGTATTAGGGCTTTTGATACTGTCCGTTTTCCGGAACCGGAGTAGTGGAGCGGGGTTCGAATCTGCTACTTAGTGACTGAGAATCAAATGACTGAACCACTGCCCCATCAATTTTACTCTTTTCAACCACATGAGCGATCTTGACTCTTACTGTTGTATATAGTAGAGTTATCAACTGGAAAGGGACGATATCATTGTTACTGAGCTTCTTATCACTGATTTCTGAGGACCTGTTCCTGTTCCTTTTAAAGTGTCCTTATTTGCTAATCACTAACTCATTATAAACGTTTTAGTAATTTTATGCAATTCCTTCAAATTTTAGATGTCCATGCGATTCGTCTTGTCCATTTCGTGTTGTTCAACTTGGACGGAAAGTTCCTTTGTGTGTCTTCCGTACACGTGACCGAGGATGGGGCGTTAAAACGGTGGTCCCCATTAGTAAAGGGACATTTGTCGTTGAATACTTAGGAGAGGTAAGCAACATTCTTAGATTTTAAAGAGTTTGGTGCTTTAAATTAATTCGTTCATGTATACGTAACCCTCATCTTACTGATATATATTTTTCCTTATCATCGACTAACCAGTAGTCTGTTTTTGTGAACTGTTTCGTCACTAAATTAGTCTGATTTTATTGTGACAGATACACAGAAAGTCTACAATAAAGCCATCCCAGTGTATAACTTGCAGTTATTTCGCCAATGCTTCAAATCTGTGTTTCTTCATTCGGTTTGAGAGACGTGGTACAACTAACTGCTAGCTGTAGTAATTTAAGTTAGGCTTGTGGATACAAACCAACCAGTCAGTCAACCTCGTACATATGTACATCTGCTAAAGTTCTCATACCCTGTTAGCATAGACAGATTAAGTTGTCTGACCAAATCCTAGAATACTAAAAGCAGTACAAGTATCAGTGGTGATTGGAAATATTCAATGTCGAAAATACGACTTAAGAAAATAAAATTAGTGAAATAAAACGCTATAAATGTTATAAGGAATTAAAGAAATCAGAATTTCAGGGAAGACGGAGAACGGATGCTTTTGCGACATTGCAAATGATTTTGAGCCATGTCATTCAAAGTCTAACCATTGGTTACGGTAGTCATGCGGACCCCAACCAAGTAGTCTATACCTATTAACATGGCTCAGTTCACTTATCTGTGACTTCGTGGACTGATGCCATATCTTGGTTTCCTCGCCTCTACCCTTCTTCTAGCCCACTCATACACCAAAGAACATTGCCCGTCAGTGTAGGTGATGGTTTGGCATACATAATACATGTCCCAACCACCTTCAGTTGACGAAGATTTACTACCTCACCAATTGACTTGTCATCCTTGCTTAACACCTTATTCCTAACCCAGACACCGCTTATTCCATGGTCCTAAAATGCAAGGGCAATGCTTCGAAGACACCTATAACAGAATACCAGTAGTTAGACGACGAAGTGTTATGGAGGCTAATATTTTGGACACTATATTTGTTAAACTTATTCCTCTGTGATTGTTACAATAGGATTTTTGTCCTTTCTTATAAATTGGGACAATCAGCGATCGAGATCAGTCAGATTGGACTACGTCCAGATCCCAGATTCTAGTTAGGATTTCATCTGGTCTAACTGTTAGAACTGGACCACCATCACTAAAATTCTCAGGGCTTAGTCCATCAGACCCTGCTGTTATCCTTCGCCTTAGATTACGTATAGCTTTTTCAACCTGACCAAGGGTTGGTGGAGATAGTGAGTAAATAACGTATATCTGAAAACCAGTTGTACTGTGTCCCTAAAGTGTTCTGTCCATTGGTGCAATGTTCTGGATTGAGAGTGAATAACAGTCTCATCTTTCTCCAAGATATTCCCACTAACATCTGTATTTTTGATGCCTGCATCCTTGATAAGTCTAAACAGTTATCTACTGTTACCTATCGCTGCTGCATTTTCCATGTATTCTGCTTTCACTATCCACCACCGCTCACGACCATTATGTAGGCTTTCTGTAGTCCTACGGTTAAGCTGCCTCCACTTCTCAATGTGTTCTGAGCCAAACGGGGTGAATTTCGGAGCATTTATCAGTTTTGTGGACGCCTCTGAAAACCACTGATTCTTCCCAACCTTTTGGTTCATGTTACTAGTAGATATCACTGCTGTTTCCGCAGCATTTTGGATATCATATGAAGCTGCCTCGGGGTGGATATCATTTTCACGATTGACTAGCTCCCTCCCTAGGTGTTCCTGAAATATATTAACTTTTTCATCATTAGGTTGTGATCTAAGTAGTTTCCTTCTCGTGGCTTTTTCACGTCCAACAAGAAGCGGACCAATGCGTGCTCGAACTGGAGCATGATCTGGGTCTAAACATGCTCCAGAATGGGCGATAGTCTTCTGCCAAGCCTATCCGACGATGGCTGACAGCAATGTGGTTTATTTGGATCCGTTGTCGGGCGGACTCTGAAGGTCATTACCAAGATGTGAGGGGGGATTCGATCGTCAACAAGGTGATCTCGGGTGCCGTTAGGAGTATGAGGGCGGTTGTCACTTCCAGGTTTCGCACACTGTGGAAGTATATTTCTTCTTAGGGGACCTGAAAAATAGATGAATTAGTGGTGGCCTTAACAACTTGGGAGTGTATACCCCAGAGCCCAAGGATCAAATGATTGAGACCGGTTGCTAATTGCCTTTTTATGGAAAGGCTTTAATTTGTTAGCTCTGCACTTTAAATATCCTTGCCGCTGGAGACGGAAATCCGTGGGGTAAGGTGAGGTGTGATATTTCTAAAGTCGACTTTTTCTAACCTCTTCCGTTGCGAGAAAGCAGGGTCGCTCCAGATGTTAGTTGTTCGAGGCGAACACCTTACTGTTGCCACACCCATTTGCAGTCATCATACACCTTCTCTCTCGGATTTGAATCTGCTGCTTCTGGTCTTATCGTTCTCGAGCCGACCTTTAGTTTTAGGAAATTGAGTATGTCCCAACATTTCAGAATAAAACAGTTGTCATTCTTACTCTGGAAATTCCCGATGTAGTGTATACAAATATTAGGAAGTAGGGCTACTGTCGAATAATTTTAACTATTGGGTCCTGTTATACTCCGCGAACTGTGTGAAATCTATGAAAGGCTGGCTTGCAAATGTTTATGTGGTTTTTGTTTAAATCGTTGATATATTAATTACGTCTTCACTTAGTTAAAAATCCCAGATACCTCTGCAAGGCGTAGGAGCATATTCCCGGAATATTTATATTGAACGGTTGGATAAAGTGAACAACGTTTATTTGGGCATCTATTTCGGTGCTAATGGTGACTCGGGTGATGAGACCAATTTGCGCGTAATCAAACTCAGCGTGGTTTATTCCAGTCTGATCCAACCCTGACCCCGTCATGATGTTAATCTGACTGTAAAAGGCCGGGTTTACAGCGTTTCTATGGGACCATTCTTATTTTGTGCCTGCTAAACCTGGAACCTTCGATCTGAGGATGTTTGGCGACATTTTATGTTTGACCGTCATTGTCTCCAAAAGACTATTTACATCCAGTTAGTTTGAACGTCTTGGCTTCTGCGATTGCTTCCCACTGGTATGAAATGAAAGGTGAAGACAGCCAGTGTATCAGTGGGCCTCAACATACACAAAGTAAATAGAAAGATCCTCAAATACAACACGGAGAATACCAACCCAGTCACACTTGGTGGAGAAGCTCTTGAGGATGTGGGATCTTTCACGTACTTCGTCACCATCTTCGAGGATTGTTAAGTTAAGGATCGCGCTCCTACAGTTGTAGAACACATGGAACTCAAAACAACTGTTAACCAACATCAAAGGATCTTCATTACAACCATCAAGACATTTCTACTGTACGGGGCTGGAACTTCCAGAGCTACCACAACCATCATCAGAAAAGTACGAGTATTTCTACACAATTGTCTACGCAATATACTCAATGTCCGTCGGTCGGATACCATCAGCAACATTTTTACTGTGGGAGAGAACGAATTTGCTCCCATCTGTTGAGGAAATTAGGAAAAGACGATAGAGGTGGATAGTTCATAGATTGCGGAAATCACCAAACTGCATCACGAGGCAAGCCCTAACTTGGAATTCTGAAGGGAAACGGAAAAGTGGAAGTCCAATGAACAAACTGCGTCGAGAATTAGAAGCGTACTTGAAAAGGACGATTAGCAACTGGAGACAGCTTAGAAGGATTGTTTGGGACAGAGTTGGGTGGATAATGCTGGTGGGCGACCTATGCTGTTCCACGAGGGACAACAGGCTTAAGTTGGTTAGTAAGGTATGAGATGAAGCAATATGAAACAATCTTAATACAAAGATCTCTTTTCAAGTAGATGTAGATTTGTATACGTGTATTCTGGGTGGAAAGGATTAGTTTCTGTAGTGATAACACGTCAACAATATATTGTTGTGGCAATGTGTATTTGGGTGCAGTAACTATAGTTCAATTGGCGCCACGATCTTAAAGCACTGAATTCGTCGGTTTGGCCATCCTAGCGATTTCTACGCTGGACTTTATCTGCTGACGTTGTGATTGAACAGAAAAAGAAGATAGGCTGTCAGTTTGTGATTTGATGCTCGAGTGTAGAAGCTGTTTAGGGATAACGTCTGTCGTTGCACTACGACTCCAGTTAGGGTCCTAGGGATTGTGCAACTCAGATGTAGCTCAAAATGCAGGCCGTTGGGGGTCCTACTCCTAATTAGTTTTTTGGCGTCCCATTGCGGCACTGTTTATATGCCTAAATGAATAATCATTTATCAGTAATTGGTCGTAAAATTTTCAAACATGGTTGTTAAAAAGCTTTAGATGTGTTAGTCTGCCATACATCGAATAAATGTATGACACTTCTGTGACTAGAACTCATCTCGTTTAGGATATTTGGTGTAATTATCTTTACAGAGGTATTATCATTAATGGACATGTTGCTTAATACGTCAGAATTGTGCAAGCAATTATGTCGAAATACGTTAGATAAAATGATTCTTTTGATCTCATATTGTTGATCGAATTCTCTCAATGAAGGAACTGTGTTACAACTTATCTGTTTATCGTCTATTATAAAGGATTTTGTGAATATCTCTATTTATGATAAATTTCACCACTGCTATTCGTTTGTGTTTCCGTACGATTAATAATCACGTATGAGCTATTATTTAATGACTTATTGTTCATTTTTACAGATTCTTAATTTTGATGAAGCAGAAAAACGAGGAATAATATACGACAAACAGACTATGACATATCTTTTCGATTTGGATTTCGAAGGTGATGCTTATTACACTGTAGATGCTTCTCAGATGGGAAATATATCACATTTTATTAATCATTCGGTAAGTGTTTTGTTTACAAGAAGGTAATTATTACGATATTTCTTGGCATTATTTTTCTATTTGAAGTCTTACGCGCGTGTGATAAATCGTTAAACATTGGATTGCTTAGTTGTTTTGTAATATAATCCTACTACATTCCTAACTTGTCACTGTCTGTTCACCATCACCTCTTGAATTCCGTCTTTTAGGAGTACCATAAGAACTTAAAACACCGCATATATATGCATAGGTTTAATTTGTTAAACTACATCACAACGAGATAAAGTCATCACCATAGTAGTAGCATTATCAACGATTATTAAAAGGACCAGCATAGGGAATGTAGTTCAAAAAGAAAGGGTAAATTTGTGTAATAGGAATTCTAAAATAATTTTCAGACCTAAGATTTAGAGGTAGACAAAGAAAGAATGAATCTCCCCCATTGAGATAGATTTTAATGCATATTGAACAATGTATCCAACCATTGATCAGTATAATCGTGAGAAACTCGACCAATTAATCCTCATCTACTGATATCTCTCAGCCTAGGTGTTGTCTTGTTATTTGGGGTTCAGTATGACCTACGATGTTATGGTTTTAGGGACGGAAACAATTGAGCTTCTCTTATACGATCGGCTTTCTTCGGGATTAACAACAGTCAATTATACTTAACACATAAAACCTGAAGGGCTAAGACAGGAAGAAATCGGAACTGCAGGTAACTTGATTTTTGTGGTAGAGCAAGCGACTCAAAAGGAATCGGTACAAAAGTTGTTATCATAGTAGCAAAATGTGACCTTCGAGCATGTAGTAATTTAGCGAACCACCAATGACAACCAATCAAAGGGTAAACGTCACGACGAAAATCGAATCGGTAGAAAGTATGCGAGTGGTTATCGTTCCTGAAGAGATCTTAGCCCTTCTAAGAAAATCTGACCATTCTTGCGACCGCCTTAGCACTAAGTCACTGTGTGGAGTAATGCCATGTTTTTGTTTGGTTATCATTGGGTTTCTTCTTACATATCCGGTACACCACCCAACGCCACTCGTCGGATAAGTAGCGAATGGCTACTAATATCCAAAATACAGACGATAACGATTAATAGACTTCCTATCTTTGATGAGTACTCTGTGTTTGACATCGACATTTCTCACTTGGTCTTTTCATTTATAGTACGCAAAAGATGAGTTAGTAAATCCTCAGCGTGGAGCCTGGCACACATATCTGTTGATCCAGGTTGCCATACCAAATTAAAACGACGAGACAAAGTTAATAAGATGTATAGCAAAAGAATTTCAGATAAAGTAATAGCGATGACGATGAAAAGGCCTAAGGGCTGATAGTAGAATTCGAAAAGATAAAGTGAAGGTTATATGAAGGAATGTTGAATTTCAAGATCGAAGTAAAAATAAAAAAGTAAATGCATCTGCACCATTGTGAGTGATTTTGAGCCATATTATCCAAAGCCTCCAACTACCAGTCTAGGTTATCGCGGGACTCAAAACAGGTGGTCTGTACGCGTACTTCCTTAATCTCAGGAAATATTTTAGTTAGGCGTCAGTAGGCATGCACTTACTTACTTACGCCTCTTACTCCTCGTGAAAAAGCATAGGCCGCTCACCAGCATTCTCCATCCAACCCTGTCCTGAGCAATCCTTTCCAGCTCCTTCCAGTTCTTATTCATCCTTTTCATATCTGCTTCTATTATCCGACGTAATGTGTTCATTGGCATTCCTCTTTTCCACTTCCCTTCAGGATTCCAAGTTAGGGCTTGCCTCGTGATGCAGTTTGACGATATGCGTAGTGTATGTCCTATCCATTTCCATCGTCTTTTCCTAATTTCTTCAGCTGGAAGTTGGTTTGTTCTCTCCCAAAGAAGACTATTGCTGATGGTATCCGGCCAATGGATGTTGAGTATCTTGCGTAGACAGATACTTACAAATACTTGTACTTTCTTGATTGTGGTTGTTGTAGTTCTCCAAGTTTCAGCTCCGTACAGTAGAACTGCCTTCGTATTGAAGATTCTGACTTTGATATTGGTTGGCAGTTGTTTTGAGTTCCACATGTTCTTCAGTTGTAGGAATGCTGTCCTTGCTTTGCCAATCCTCGCCTTTACGTCTGCATCTGAGCCTCCTTGTTCATCGATGATGCTTCCTAGGTATGTGAAGGACTCTACATCTTCCAGAGTTTCACCATCAAGAGTGATTGGATGCAGAGACTGCTGCTACACTGGCTGTCTTCATCTGCATCTGTTCGTGTGTACGCAATAGGAGGGCTAGGTCATCTGCGAAGTCCAAATCGTCTAAATGGTTCTGAGATGTCCATTGTATTCCGTGTTTTCCCTCAGACGTTGAGGTCTTCATAATCCAGTCGACCACCAGAAGCAAGAGGAAGGGAGAGGGTAGACAGCCTTGTCTGACTCCGGTTCTTACATGGAATGCATCTGTCAGCTGTCCTCCATGCACTACTTTGCACTGTAGTCCGTCGTATGAGTTCCGGATAATGATGACAATCTTCTCAGGAACTCCGTAGTGTCGAAGAAGTTTCCATAACGTTCTCCTATCTACACTGTCAAATGCCTTTTCATAATCGATGAAGTTGATGTATAGTGACGAGTTCCACTCAACTGATTGTTCGACGATGATCCGTAGTGTTGCAATTTGGCCTGTGCACGACCGATCCTTACGGAATCCAGCTTGTTGATCTCGAAGTTCGGCGTCTACTGCATCCTTCATCCGGTTCAGCAAAACTCTGTTAGAGACTTTCTCCGGTATTGACAGTAGTGTGATGCCTCTGTAGTTTTCACATTTGCTCGAATCTCCTTTCTTTCAAATCTTGATGAGGTGTCCTTCTTTCCAGTCCATCAGCACTTGTTCCTCCTCCCAAATCTTTCTGAATAGAAGATAAAGCATGCTTGTGGTTACTTCGACGTCTGACTTCAGTGCTTCAGCTGGTATGTTGTGGGATCCTGCTGATTTCCCGTTCTTGATTTGTCTGACGGCCATTCTGATTTCTTCCGTCGTTGGTGGGTTGACATCTATAGGAAGAACTGTGTGTGCTGCTTCGATGTCCGGTGGATTCATTGTAGCTGGCCTATTCAGGAGTTCCTCGAAGTATTCTACCCATCTGTTCCACTGTTGTTGAATTTCATTGATTGGCCTGCCTTCTTTGTCCTTGACCGGCCTCTCTGGTTTACTGTATTTCCCTGATAGTTTCTTCGTTGTATCGTAAAGTTGCTTCATATTTCCTTCGCTTGCAGCTTTTTCTGCTGTCATTGCTAGTTCTTCCACGTATTTCTTCCTGTCGGCCCTAATGCTTTTCTTCACTTGCTTGTTTGTTTCTATGTATTGAGCTTGTGCTTGGACTTTCTCTGCTCGTGTTCGGCTGTTGTTTATTGCTGCCTTCTTGTTCTTCCTTTCTTTGATCTTGTCCAGTGTTTCCATAGAGATCCACTCCTTATGGTGGTGTTTCTTTAGGCCCAGAACCTCTTGACACGTTGAAGTCAATGCTTCTTTGATACCTTTCCAGTTGTCTTTCATAGTAGTTTCTTCTTTCAGTAGATCTTGTAAGGCTTGGAACCTGTTGTTGAGAGCTATCTTGAATTCACTAAGTTTGTCAGTATCTCGAAGGAAGGCTGTATTGAACCTTTGTAGTGCTGTTTGTCCAGTTGTCCAGTTCTTTTTTAGCTTCAGTTTTAAATTGGCTACAACTAGATGGTGATCTGAAGCTACGTCAGCACCTTCGGAATTTTTTGTTGATGCAAATATGATCTATCTGGTTCTCTGTAGTGTGGTCCGGTGAGATCCATGTAGCCTTGTGTATACGCTTATGTGGAAATATTGTGCCTCCTATGACCAATTTGTTGAATGCGCATAGATTTGCAAATCTCTCTCCATTTTCGTTTCTTTCTCCCAGTCCATGTCGTCCCATAATATCTTTATATCCGGTGTTATCTATTATGACTTCGGCGCTTGAATCTCCCATCAGAATGGTGAGGTCCTTTCTTGGGCACTCCTCTATCATTGACTGCAGCCGCTCGTAGAATTGATCTTAAATGTCGTCGTCGCTATCATTGGTGGTGCATGACATTGGATAATATTCATTGTGATCCCCTCCTTCTTTGTTTTGAATGATGCTTTGATGATTCTAGATCCGTGAGATTCCCATCCTACAAGTGCATTTCATGCTACTTTGGACAGCACTAGAGCGACTCGCTGAGTTTGTGGAGCATATTCCTCTTCGTGACCGGAGTATAGCAGCATCTCTCCCGTAGCTAGCCTTTTCTGTCCAGTTTGGGTCCAATGGGTTTCGCTGATTCCCAGTACTGCTAAGTTGTATCTCCTCATTTCCATCGCTATTTGACTGGTCTTCCCGGTTTCCCACATTGTTCGAACGTTCCATGTACCTATAAAAATTCCTGCCCTGGTTGTTAGAAATGGCATCGACCTCGTGGCTTCCGAAGGAACCCGGCTTTCACCATGGAGCGTCATAATTCTTCTAAATGAAGACCTTCTAACTTTCAGGGCAGAGTTTAAATGGTTTGAATTATTTTTTCTGGTAAGCGTTTTTTTAGCGAGTTAGATTTCTATGGGATGGGGACGCTAACCCCATGCCCAACCCTCCTCCTTTACCCTGGCTTGGGACCGGCAGTAACTCTAGAAGAGCTACAGGCGGAGTTAGCAGGCATGTAAAGCTCCTTTAATTTGATGAAGAGTAAATTTCTGGCCGATGCATCCTCTTCTGGGCCCGAAACCAGACTGGTTTTCCGAAGTTTGTTGTTTACGAGCCCTAGTTAAAGACTGACTATCAAGGCTAATATTTTAGATACTATATTATTCAAACTGATTTCTGTGGTTGTCGCTAGGTTGTTTGGTACTCATATACCAGAACGATCAGTGATCGTAACGAGGTGGATTGGATCATGTCCAGTTCTCAAACTCTAGCCAGTATCTCGATAAATGTACTTATTAAAACTAGGCCACCATCCTTAAAGGTCTTCGGTGGTAACTCGGTATAGCTGACCTTTATATCAGATTATTTATGATCTTTTCAAGGTGGTTAAGAGTTGATGACTTATTTACATCTCCTATTCGGTTTGTTTGGAACTCTTCGTTTCAATTGTCTTCAACAAGTGTACATCAAAGTCCCATATTTCTTGGAGTTAGTTTCACAAACACTCAACGTTGTAATAACTGCTCGTTTGATAAGTTCAGTTAGTTATTTATGGTTATCGATCACTACTCCTTTTAAGCATAGATAGATAAATATGCTACGATATAGCATAAGTTGGTTATGTACAAATCCACAGAACGAACCATTGAATAGTAGAAAGATACTATATAAATTAAAAGTAAGTAATTTTGCGTACAGTTAATCGCTACATTTTGACCCTATTGCCCTGAACCATAACATAATTAAATATCCAAGTCAAAAAACGAAATACCAACTTGGCTACACATCACTTATCTCTGAATAGCTACATGATAACAAAGTGCTGATTATTTAACGGAAAATAAATGGAACGTATAAATAATCTATTACAACCAGTTCTGATTTGTTTCAGATTCATTCTTCTGACATTTTTGCGTTCTCTTAAATCGTAGACATGTAATAAGCAGTTTGCTTTACGCACCTTATACTAAAGTACCATGGTGTCTTTGTCTTATTGCAATGCGAAGTTTAACACAACTCAGTTGTTAGCTGAACTAAGCAACTGAAATAAATATGAAACAATTTGTGGGATGTCAGAACTTCGTAGGTATTTACGATTGAGCTAAAAGCGAATCGACTGTGAATAAGATTATCTCAAGCACTGTGTATGAATAAGAGCAGTTGTCGCTTCGCGGCTGACCATGCCATGGTAAGATATTTCTTCTCAAGTGACCTAAAAAAGAAACGTAGTAAGTCTTAGATTCCATTGCTAGCCACTATCCATCTTTGCTTAGTAGTAAAGAATAGTCTTAAGAATCTGAGAACATGATTACAGGGCTAAAGGGGAAACTGCTTGATGCCTGTCTGCTATGTTTGAAGAGATTATGAGATCACCTAAATCTACCAACAGATCGAAGACTTCGCAACACGACCAATAAGCTAACCATTCTATGCGTCCCAACCCCGCTAACTAGAAAAAGTTTAGGTTCAGAAGAGGGAAAGTGTATTCCACAAGCAGCCAGATGCACGAACAACAACAACAAGCATAACTCAAGCGTATATATACAGCATAAAAATTTCCTTGGTAAACGTCACAAAAATAACACAATGAAAGAGGCGACGAACCAGTGACATTAAGAGTTCTGCCAAGTGAGAATTACGATATGAAGGTGAAAACTCGAGTTTCTAAAATAAGATTACAAAAATAAACGTTTACCAAGTGAGTCCTGATTATCCAGTACCGCCAACACTGTCATACATATCCTTTTTGTGAGTAATGTTAAATTTGCTGGTCCCGTGCTTATACGGTCTTACCACCAGTGACAGCAATCTGTTAGGTGAGTCAAGGTGTACTATTTTTAGGCCCAACCTTATCTAACAGCTTCTCGTTATGGAAAGGCTGCACTGCTGCATAATTTGGTTGCCTGAAAGTGGCACCTTGCTGCCGTCACACTTGTGTGGTTGATAGTATGGTGTCCTCTTTGGGCCTCGAGTTTTACTCCTTCAGACTTACGACAGTCCGATCAGCTGGCCTGTAATAGCCAAGCTAAGACTGTTGGAGAATGTGTTTCGGTTGTCGTCATTTGTTGCGATGCTTTTAACCCTCAAACGATGTCCAATTTTTTATCCTGTTTATGCTACGTATGTTCAAAATTCTCAGAGTTGCTCAAGGCCTGTGTTGTTTGTCTGAATGCTCCTCAGTGGGTAACAAACGCATCACGATTTTAAAGATATGTCCCCATGTAGTTTACTGTGAGGATCATTTGCAGCGCACTGCATAAAAATCATTCAGGAAATACGCATTTGTCTGCCATTTTCGGCTACAGCATTTGTGTCAAACCTATTGGTACCACTTGGATTACTAGGCCGAAATAGGGGGGGGGAGATTCGGACTTGCTACACATTGGTCGCATTTCATGAGGTATATAGTGTAGAATAGTTTTATATGGTGCTTTCCAGATAGTTTGATAATGTTCAATTTATTATGTTTGATACAAATTAGTATTACCATTTGGTTTGCTCTCCCTTTTTTAGTGTGATCCCAATCTCACAGTTCGTTGTGTTTTTATTGAGTGTCTCAATACGAAGTTACCCCGTATTGCGCTTTACGCGTCTAGATTTATAAGGAAAGGTGAAGAACTTACATTCGACTACAATATGACTGGTAACTGAATCCTTTATGATTTTTATACATAAATGCGTATATGTTTCTTATAGTTATGTCTTGCGCGACTAATGTAAATCTACTAGTATTGAGCGTTTTGGATGGGATTAACAGAAAGCTTTCCAATCAAGTTTCTTGTTTTTTTTATCATTAATGAACAATGGAAATTTGTCACTAAGAGTATATTTATGTTATTCTAACAATTTCAGGTGGTAAAATTAAACTAAATATATTTGCTCGAAGCTATTTGAATCGATTCCTTGAAGAGTTTAATATTAGAACTCTTGTATAAATATCTTATCCAACATTGCTTGTACATCTTGCAAATGTGACCCAAGTCTCGTTTTTGTTGATTTCTTTCATTTGAGGTTATTTCCTGGGTAGCTTAGTTAAAAGTTTCCATTCCTTAGCACAAGTAATAAAAAAACAATAACTTTGTTTTGTTTCGAGACAAACTTTCGAATTGATATGTCATTGTATAACACTATAGGACTTTTTATTTTCAGGTGCTGTGGCTGCGGACACTAGTGTAGTTATAGATGGTGCCGGAGAGGCAGAAACTCCTTCAGAAACCCAGTCAGGGTCATCGAATAATGGTGGGAAGAGTCCGACCCCATCTTCTTCCTCAGTTGACGTAACTCCTGACACAAGCAGTGAGGTAAGTGGGTGTTTGCAAGTTAAGTCTGTAGATTTGTTCTAAAATATTTGCTTCTGTTTTGTATTTTCATCTGACATACTACTCCAACTCGACTATCTTCGTTCGAGTAGATGGCTCTTATTCTCTGAAGAAGTGGCTTACGCTGAGTCACGAAACGTTAGAAAATCTAATTTTTTGACTCATTGGGATATTACAAATATATTATTTTTATTTATATATGGCCATTAGTTTGTATCTCTGGCTCATCCCAATTGCGTATGAAATAAATATGTAACAATGCAGCTTTATCTTGAACCAGTTATTTTGCTCCAGTGTGAGACAGTTTGTTGGAACTGCTTCTCTAGATAAAGTTATCTTTTTTTACAGAGGTTTTGAAGGTTGGGTATTGTAAACAACGTATATTTGCTGGACATGTAGGAATCGGTAAAACCAAACTGACCGAATTTTCTGAGGAGGTTAACTGTTCCCATTGCAGGTGATAATTTCATCATGCTTTATCTAGTTGCTTACTCCATCATTGTACCTGGTAATCAGTTAATTACTCATCATATCGTCAAATTCACGTTTTCGATGGCTCTTTAGTAAATTCAGAACTCATGGTTTCAGCCAATCACAGTCACTTTTAAAGTTTGTAATTTGATTGGCTAATTGGTTTCTCTCTCTCACCTGCCCATGTATGACAGACTTTAAATGGATTAGTCATATCAGCCCTATGAATGAGTCATGCCCAAAGGTGGAGGCGCAATTTAAAAGGTCTGATCTGTGGATGGATAACACACAGATCGTGAATGAGTCTTGAAAAAGTTAATCAGTAATCGGGATTTGAACCGCTTCGACATCATTGAAGGTTATGGTTGTATGGGATAGACTTTTAATAACTTTTAGCAAATAACTCCAACAGATTGAATTTAAACAAATAAATTCTTGTAGTTCTCTGTGTAAAGTTTCATTTTATAAGTAAAGTTTTGGTGCCAGGATCAGCAGATCTTCGCGAATACCATATTACACATACTGATGGTAGTCTGGATTTCTAGTTCAAGTCAAATCTTATTGTGTTTCGATAATTTGGCAATATCTGGAATATTCAAAGTCCTACGACATGTTTGTATGGATTATTACAAATATGAAGGTGGGGTTTTAAATTATTATCCAGTGTTCTATTGAACATGGATTTAATATACGCCTCTTTTTCCTTGTTGGCCATATTTGTGTTGTTACGTTGAAAGGTGCTTTAGGTTTATGGGACCAGTTAACTATACCATAGGATTCTATTTTGATTTATTGCTATTAAAGCTGAACAATATCCAGCAATGGAACCTAGTAAAGCACCCTACCCATCCTATTTGAGACTCGTTGGGTCACTGTATCTCCGTTCTAGTGTTGATTTTCAGAATGAAACTCAAGCCCACTACTTTTTGCTTTAAGCACTACCGCGTTATCTGCTGACCTACTGAGTCCAGATATCTGGTAGCTTGTGCAACATGCACTGTTATTATTTGGAAGGGTTTTTCCCCCATTATTGATGCTAAGAACTAGATATACGTCCTGAAAAGTTCCACATAGGATGGAACGCTCATTCGGTTATTCACTGCTAGCCATTATTCAAATCTACCATTTGGATTCAGTTTACATTGTTTACTTTGAAAATAAAAATTCGTTTCCTACAAAGTAACACTATCATACCACTAATTTCAAAATGCTTCCACTTTGTTTACCTATTGCAGGTGTCTTTCGATAGCAAATCTCTGGGATCTAAAGTAAGAAATTTTTATTTGATTAATCTGGAATGATTTATTATTTAAAAAAAATATTATTTATGTCAGTTTTTTGACAGGTTTGTGTCAATAATTCACATATACAAATCTCTTTCAACAATTCACCATTCAGCACAATATAAGCGTCATTATTACCAGTACTATTAATCATACCGGTATTGTTACTTTACGTTCCAAACACTACCTATTGAAAGGGTGTTTTAAAACGATCAGTAGTCTTTTTATTATGAATGTTTTGGCTTATGACCAGAAACCGGATCAAAACGACTCTTCAGTACTTTGTAAATCCCCGCTAATTGCATATTTTTGGCTACCTGTAGAATGTTTTCGAAAATTTCACTATCAATTATATGAAGATAACTATCTTTTATTTCAATATATCAAGTAGGTAAATTGTTGTACAAAATATCTAACATCGAATTTGGAAAATCTGGTTTTTGCAACTCATAGTGAACACTTAAGTCTAACTCCGAGTTGTTGCCTGATTTATATAAAAAGTAAACCTTTATTGTCTTTGTTAAAAAAGACTCAGAGGCGCTTATAATTTGTATGTCAGATAGAAAAACACTGAACAACCGGGACAAAAATAACAAACACAATGTGTCTGTTAGGTTATTGGAACTAAAAAGCTATCTTTTGGTCCAGTGGAAGTTCATATGCGACTGGTTCATGGAGTACTTCATGTCAGAGATTTCCATGTTTGAATTTTGAATATATCCGTCTCCTTGATGTAAAATACGAAATATCGCAGCCGTATCTCTTCTCGGTCCGCTGATGTTCAGAGATCTTCCAAAGCTTTCTGCTATGATGAGATTTCTTTATTCCTGACAATAAAAAACGTTTGTCATGAATTATTCAAATAAATTTGTTGTTGAGTATTTTACCACTTATTTCTTTTTCAGCTGAAAATTTCGTTAAAATTTGAAATAGTTGATTTTAGAATAGGTTTATAAACTTAAACTGTATGAATATAATGATTGGGGTTGGTACAATATGTCAACACTAAACATTATTTATAAACAATGTAGTGTATAGATATATTCACTTATCATCGGAATGAAAGAAGTCATTGATCTATTCTCGTTTGTTCATTTCTTTCTCTACTGAAGAGCAGTTACTCATTAGTTAAAAGGTTTATTTATTTATTTATTTGAGCACAAATATTGGTACGAAGGGGCATCAGATACATATGTTCCACACAAAAATTTCATTTGGTTTGTGTGTGGGCTGTGATACTGCCTGGGTACCCAGACCGAAGCAAGTGGTATTCTCAGGGGTCCACACCCGAAGCCTTCGACGTAATGGTCTGATCCACAGGGCAGTAAAGCAACAATTAGGGTGTGCAGTCCCATGGTAGTCGGTGACCAATAGTAGGTTCATGTGCCTTTTGCTCCTTTAGGATCCTGGAGCCCATGTTCACCATTGGTTTGAAACCAGGGTTTCTGCATATCCACTAACCCGGTTAAAGCGCCGGGCATTCGTTTCTCGTTCTTTCAATTTCCTAAACAACACCCGTGGCGCAAGAAGGAAGTGAGTAAGACTTCCCTAACAGTGGCTGTATACGCGTGGCCATCCGTTTGGTTGTAGGTTCGAACATCACTTCACCTATTTCAGTTTTTCGGCAATCAGATAGTATAACTAGTTTGGAGACTTAGAGTTTAGCTGGAAACCAGTTGTATTGTTCAATACTTTGTAAATGAATTTTATATTTTTCTTTTGTTCCACGTTGCGCAAGTTTCGTCTGACAGTCATTTTTTGAGATAACTTTCACTTGATTTGTCTGTAAAAGAAGGGTTCTTCGTGTGTAGAATTAGCTGTAGTCCATCGGTTTTAGCATGTGGCTTGTGATCAAGTGGTTCACTGTCACTTCACTCCAACCGACTCAGTTTTGACAGCCAATTGACGTTTTTAAACGTTCACATAACAGGTACGTCTGGAATAAAATGCAGATAGCTTTGATAGATCATTTAGTTCTATTTAAGATAGTATTGACCCTTGGATGATAGGCTTTTGTATTTATGATACGTAAAGCCGGATTTACTAGGTAAAGTTATTGATGTTATTGATTCGTAATATTTATTAATTTAACAATTGTTGTTTGAAGCTCTATGCAAACGTTGTGCCGTGATTCGGAAAAGTAATTTTTGTTTTTTGTCCATTTATCTGGAACACTGCATGATGAATATCCTGTACGTTTACTTCATAATATATTGTTGAGGTAATAGTTTTTAGTTACTATGGTAAACCATGTCTTATACTAATTCTCGGATAAACGTGGTGACGTCTTTGATCTTAGCAACTAAAGTAATATATTCATCTTGTGGCTGAATCATATATATGAATACTAATAACCTTAATAAAACTGTGATTTAACGTTTAAAGCACGGCCTTTAATTATTAGTTCACAAATCCAAACTTCTGCTTACGTTCTAAACTTTATATTACATACCATAATACAGTGGTTACTGGAGTGTACATTGGCAATAGGGACATTATTATTGTTTACATTGGCATTTAAAGCTTCAATCCTGTTTAAAATTATTATAATGGTGGTCCAGTGTATACAAGGATGAATTCCTATAGCTTTTAGACGTTTCTGTTATGGAAACAGGGATTCCTTGTATCATTATTTTCCAAATATCATTTACCCGTTTTCGCCTAAGATACTTCAACGTTCTCTAAGTATACTGAATTCCGAAGGTATTCACATGTTAAATCGATCGTGAAATCTCATTTGGCGAAAAGTTCTATGGTAACTAAGGTCTTGTTTGGATTCTTTCGTTGTGATTAAGTATCTAACCATTGTCCTCAGTAGCTTTACTTTGTATCCGGCTCCAGTTAAACATTTAATTTCTGATGATAAGCTCTTGAGACTCATTATGTGCCTGCAAGTAGCTGTTCTATAAATTTATGCCCAATTCGGCTGATATATCGAAATAAAACCCGACACCATATATGCATTCTGTCGTATTATGTTTTTTGATATTGAGTTGACCGATTATGAGACTTGAATCCGGATAAATTTGTGAAATATTTACGACTGGCGAAGACATAGCATTGAACTTTCCTTGGGTTCGCTTAAACTTACTGTATGTTTTCTCATTATCGGTTTTAATGAAGTCTCAACTTTTTCACATTTCTGGTATAAATATCCTTATTTCACAGAATAAGATTTTGTCTCATGTCAACAATTTTAGTAAATCTTGCACAATCTACTGATCTATAGTTGAGATCGACCTTCAGGAATGTTTAATATTTCACACATTGAGTTAGGAAGCTATTTTACGATGTAGTAAGAGATTCAAATCTGGCTATGTGCGAATAACCTTTTGGGACTCGAATTTCAGACCTCAGAAAATGGTCATGCCTTTCAGTTAAATATCCGAAATTCTCCATATGAAGATGTCATCTGTGACCTACGGTATGAACACCTGCAATTAACTTCAAAACGCTGTCTAAAAATTTAGTAAATTTATGGTTTCGATAAAAAAAATTAACGTCATAAACTGAAACCCTTTTAATGAGAATTGTCGCATTGTGCTGAATACTGACTATAGTAGTCTACTCATTTACTTATTCTTCTCAAGTGACTAAACCAGCTTTTGGTAATTGTTGTCGCATCCCTATTTTCTCTATATTCTTATCATTGACTTTGATTGTGTTTCCTAGGAATACTACCTTTGCTGGCATAGAAACATTGAACAGACTAAAATCAGGAGTACACAGCCCAACTATATAGAAATATAATGAAAAGTTGAAGCTGGTGTCTGTTTTTTTTACTTAACAATACTGTTAACTTTGTCTCCCCACAATTTTGAAAACGTAGTTCGTGGTAAATTGTTAGTAGATGTCTCGTTTCTTAGTAATTGTCAACTTAAATTCCCTGTTGACCGAACTAAATTTCTGTTAAGACAAAGTTCTACACCCTTTTGTTGAGTTTGTATGTTTAATGGTTCTCAGTTCTTTCTGAAAATTGCCTTCACATGCAAAATCACAAGATCTACTAAATCAATTGAAAACGAATTCTAACTAGGTAGCTATTTCAATAAAGATGTCTTAAAGTTTCAATTCGAAGGCATTATTTATAAAATCGACATAATTAAAAATAAGATAGTAGCTCATTGGTAACATCCTATGAAAATAGGATTATTTCACCAACTGACCAATGTTGAAAGAATATCATTAAATTTCAAGTCCATGGCTACATCATGAGCTTAAAATTGGTGAATGCTCACTGTCAAGGAGTGTCAGGTTACGTCTATGTTGTCTATGCTTATTTGTCAACGGTGAAAATATGTCTAGTTGCCCAGTTTCTTCCTCATTAGCATGGTTAGTCAATTGTATAACATCTTAGGAGTACGCTATATAATGCTCAGTATGTCAAGGGCGTGTCAAGGTTTATATGTTTTTTATTGTCGATGTGTAAAAGTTCCATTATCTCATCAAACATTGGAGCGCAAAGTACTGTGGATAATTGAAATACCACTGAAATTTGGGTCATCAATGCTGTCAGTGTACTGAATACTTTCTCTAAAATAATGGAGATTGCAGTATAAGGAACCATTCCGATTGATTAACGATTCTCATACCATGTACAAAGGTTTCTTTTAGCTTTAAAGACGTAACTAGGTGATTAGTTTTCCATGGATTCTGAAAAAGCTTGAGCATATTGTTTCATAGAATTTTTCTCATCTAGTTCCTTCCCAGATCTTATACCGACTATTTGACCTTTCTCAAGTTGTTTGGTTGTATGCTTTTTTATGGAACCAAACAGTAAGTATATCTATGTAGTGTTTAGTCGGCAACAAAGAGAGCAGTCTTTATTGTTTTGTTCCTTTTCCTCTGCAAAAGGCTTTTAAGTGTCGAAAAGAATTTGATTAGCGTGTAAAATACGAAATTTAGCTTACTATTGTAGAGATTTGCTGCATTAAGTGATTATTTGGATCCATACACCTTTAATGCTAGTTGGATTTTCGAAAAAATACCAAAACTACACGGAACTGAGTTCGATTATAGCACTGTAATACTACGAAGTGATTCTTAAATTTATTAGCATTTTTAAAAACTTAATCATGTTAGACTCATCTATTTGCTTTTCGTTCAGCTCACTTCCTTTGTTCACATGTATATATTACGCTTTCTTTTCTATTTTGTGTCATAGGGTCCTCGTATGAAATGCTTATGTCGAAGTAAAAACTGTCGTGGATATTTAGTCAACTAGAAATTTTTACTGATTGTTTATGGAGTACGGTAAAGCTGAAATACAGTCTGCTTATAATCATATACAATGTCAGTTTTATCCACTCAGGCTTCGTGTATTTTTAATGAACCATTAGGAATATTTGTATTCAGGATTATATTTGATTCTTATTTTATATCTATTGTAAATTATACTGCTCTATATAGCAAATATATATAAGTATATGTAAAGATAATTGGTATAGTTTGCAGATTAAATGTATACTTTGTGTCTTTTTGTTCATCAGCATTTTACAGTTTTTTATAGTGACAATAGATTTAAGGCGCTGAAAATGTACGTCTATTCTTTTAAATGCTTCTATACATTTCAGTTGTTTTCATTTACTTTTATCCTGAGAAGGTAACATTTTGTTGTTAATATATTTACGATATATCTGTATTCAATGTTAATTTTTCATATTACCTGAGATGATTTAACGAAAGACCAATGTATATAAGGATGTACAGGTATTACATCCTGTTTCTTATCATAAGCAGTATAACCATACAACTACATTCAATTGTTTTAACATATACCAAACATTGTTAATCAATCACTAAAAAAACCACTTGTGAGTTATATACCTGCACATTCGCCATTCACTTGGTTCATGTGGAGTATTTCGAGTTAAATGAAGTCACATACCCGTTTTAGTGCTTTTCGGTTGGACCTTGTATACTCAAGATGCTTTGTTCAACTACAGGGGTCGATGTTGTGTTATCCACTTCACAGTTGTGATGTTATTTCCGAAATTTCCATAAAACTACCAACCATCCCCTTTGATCCTAAGAAAATGCTGAGTGGAGTAAGTTATTTAGGTAATTTCGACTGTACAACCGTCAGAAAGTGGTATATTTTCATATGTATTGAGCGGTATTTTATGGAGTTTAATGTGTTACAAAGGTGCTCTTTCGGTCTGCATAATAATTTGAAATTCTTCTGATTAACAAACATTCACTGTATTAATGAGATAGCCTTGTAATTGAAATGGCCATTTCGGATAATTGTTTTAGCCTAAAATAACATTTATTTTCATGGCAGACAATAAAGTTATGTCACATTTGATTGGATAGTTTTCGACCAATCACAATGGGATGTCTGCGCTGAATTAGATTTCAGCATTATTTTCACTTTTAATATGGCAGTTAGGTAAGACTTTTGACCTCTTAGTGATTCTATAAATTTATGTTAACTCTATAATTAAGGATGAACAAATAATCCCAAAATTTATTTATGGGGGAACTTTTTATTTAATATGCTTTCATGATGGTCATCGCGATTTTTGTGCTCTAGTGTCGTCAGCGTGAATAGCAGATAGTGGTGCTAATGAGATATAAATCCCACTTAAATTTGCATATATTCTGTCGACCTAAACGTTTCGAACGGTATTTTTAGGGTCAAGATACAAATGTTTCATATGGGTTTATCTCATACGGTCTATTCGACAGACAGACCGAGAGAAATGTATGTGGACTGAAGTGACAGATTTAGCTTAGTTAATGAATGACTTGGCATACATATAATAAGTTTCAGAAAACAAATGCGAATATAAATGATTGACACACATGAGGCCAGCACATCCACAAATCACATATGAATATGCCAAACAAAGCTACATATGACAGAGTACACGAGATGGTCAAAAGATATTTGACCAGATAGGAATAATATGTTTAATAAGCAGACAATAGTGGATTACGCATTGGTTGCCATAATACTTTATTAAAAGTATGGACAGACGAGGTGTCGCTACAAAATTAGAGGATCGTGGATTTATCTACCCTGATGAGCAAATTTCCCCAGGTCTAAGAAGGTACTTAGGCATGTTACACCTCGTGAAGGAGCATAGGCCGCCCACTAGTATTCTCCATCCAATTCTGTCCTTGAGAAACCTTTCAAATTGCTATTCAACCTTTTCATGCATACTTCTAATTCACGACTCTGTGTTTTTTGTTCTTCTTTTCTATTTCTCTTCATAGTTCCAAGTTAGAGCTTGCTACAAAATGCAGTTTGATAATTTCCAAAATGTATGTACTATCCACCTCCAATATTTTCTTATTTCCTCTTCAGATGGAAGTTTGTTTGTTCACCCCCACAGTAGACTGTTGTTTATGGTATCCGGTCAACGGATATTGACTATCCTGTGTAGTCAACTGTTTATAAATTCTTGAGCTAATTTGTTGATGTTTATGGTAGTTCTGAAAGTTTCAGCTGCGTACATTAGGATTGTCTCGACGTTCGTATTGAAGATTGTGACTTTGACATTGGTTGATAGTTATTTTGAGTTACATGTGTTCTTCAACTGTAGGAATGCTGTCCCTTATTTGCCAATCCTTGCCTATACATCTGCATCAGATCCTACAAGTTAAATTTAAAGTCATCCTAACATTATTCTTCATTATTTCGATAAATAGATTTTTGGGCAATTATCTGCAAACGAACAGAAATCGAGTGTATATATTCCATGTGTTGATTTATTGCATTGTTCAAGACTACAATAGTACTTGCTTATTTTATTTGCAAATTTACTTCAATTTCAATTCCATTGTTGAAATACATCCTGAGGTTTTGAATAAAACTTAGTTCATGTACCCTGTACAGTCAAATTACAGAGATACCTTACACGTGACATGTCGACCCTCAGGTATTCATGTGTAGCGTGGTGTCGAGTCCCAGTTGACTATGAATACCGCCACAGGAAAACACGTGCCAATAAAATCAGAAGGCGGAATATAACCACGTTTATTTAGTTGGCGATCTCGTGGTATCGAATGAATACCAAGATCGTGCCAAGGAATGGTACGAGCGAACGCAGGAGAACGGAGTACGTTAGAAAGGGTTTACACTTTCAATAAGTAGCGGTTTGATTCGAGGGACTGATCGGCTGACAGGCGATTGTAGGGCGGAACAGTAGGCGGTCATTGATCCTCGAGTTGCCAACGAAGGTCTTTATCGGAGAACGGTACCAGGAGCCATGTGCTGCATCTGTTGCTCGAGTTAGCATACCAAACCGGAGTGGTTTGTATCCAGGATCTGAAGATTGCGTTCGTTGGGGTCCGGACCAGAAAACGCTGCGGACGTAGAACGAAACCACGTTGAGCCAAGAAACCGAAAGCGATCATAATGAACAAGTGCGAAACCAAACATATGCCAGGTAGATTCGAAACCAGAGTATCGACTGAGTGCGTTGACTAGAGCGTAGGTGATCAGGCCAGCTTTCGCCAACGTTGACTGAAGTCGACGGTACCGAACGGGGGTAGTCGTAGGCGTGGGCTCAGAATACAGAAAGAAATAAAAAAAGGGAGAGTGTTGCATGCAAGTAGTATAAGAATTGTCCTACACCGTATCCGTTGTTGACTGTGCGGCTAGTCCCGGAAGCGTACGGGCAACCGTACTCGGCCACGGAAACGCGAGACGGTAGTCTCTTGAGCCTGCAATCTCGTCCGAAGTCAAGGGCTGCGCGGCCTGCTGATCTGGACGTGAGACTGTCTGTAGATGGTGCAGATGACGCGTGCTGTTGACCGGGACGAGAGAATGGGGTTTCAGATGTATCTAGCGTGGGATCTGTAGAAGATTTAAGGATCCCGCTAGTAGGTTTGAAAGGTCTGGCATTGGGTCTCGAGTTATCAGATAGGGCATTGTCATCGACGTGTGCTGGTTTGAGACGATCAATGCTGACGATTTCGACGCGGCCATGTCGATCAACCTTGAAGGTCTTTTCGTGACGAGCGATCACGTGAAAAGGGTCTTCGTAAGGCTGTCGCAAAGGTTAGTGTACCGAATCTACTCGTATGAAAATATGTGAACAGGTAGATAACTCTCGAGGGAGAGCGACGTATCGATGTTGTATTCGAGTTAACACCGAAGGCAGCGTTCGCATAAATGCAGACAGTCGTTGGACGTAGTCTGATTTACTGAAATCAGGTCTGCTCCGTGGTGTGAAGAATCCCCCGAGCAGACGCAATGTCGTGCTGTATATCGGTTCAGCGGTGGAACATTGGATATCTGCCTTTAGGCTCGTTCTGATGCCTAAAAGAACGAGCGGTAGGGTTTCGTACTAATTGTCGTCTTCGTGTGCTCGATGAGCACTTTTAAGTTGACGGTGAAACCTTTCAAATAAACCATTTGAAGCTGGGTGGTAGGCGATAGTGCGTATGCATTCCGTACCAAGAAGCTGGGTAAGGGAGGAGAATAGTGAGGACTAGAATTGTTGTCCTCGGTCAGTCGTGACAGTCGAGGGACAACCATATAGTGCTATCCATCGTTCTGTGAAGCGGTGAGCAACTGTTCCCGCCGTAATAGACGTGATGGGACTAGCTTCGAGCCACGTTGTAAAACGGTCAATCCACGTGAGTATGTGATCATACCCATGCGATGATGGCAGTGGTCCTACAATGTCTATATGAACGTGATCGAAGCGAGCATCGGGCGTAACGGACGTGCCTCAGGGGTCGGCTACGTACCTGTGCACTTTTGATCGTTGACATTGTAAGCATTGCTTCGCCCACATACGAACATCTTTATTCATGGACGGCCAGACGTGTCGTGCAGCGATGAGGCGTAATGTAGCTGCGATGTCTGGGTGAGATAATCCATGCAGGACATCAAATACGAGGCAGCGGTAAACAGAGGGTATGATGGGTCGGGGAAGACCGGTAGATGTATCACATAGGATGGTGCCAGAAGTTGTGGCTTGTGGTACTTCCTGATACTGAAGGGACGTAGGTCGTGGAGCTTTTGTACAACTGGGATCGTTCGCCTGGGCGGCGGCCATAGAAGGAAGATCGAGCACCGGCAAGGTTACTGCATTCCTTTGGATTCGTGGTAGAGCGTTGGCACCACAGTTCGACTCCCCTTTGATGTGACGAAGATCTGTCGTGGACTGAGAGATAAAGTCAAAATGTCCGCACTCTCGTGGTGAGTAGCGGTCAGACTTGGTATGCAAAGCGTACGTTAAGGGTATGTGGTCGGTGAATAAGATAAAATGGCGTCCTTCTACTGCGTTCCGGAAATATTTGATGGCACAGTAAGCTGCTAGCAGTTCGCGACCAAAAGCGCTATATCCCGTGTCCGTGGGAGTAAGGCGTCGTGAGAAAAACTCGAGGGGTTGCCAACTACCGGAGATGTTTTGTTGCGTGACGGCTCCTATAGCAAAATCAGATGCATCAACCGCTATACTAAGCGTGGCTGATGGATCGAGATGGGCGAGAAGTGTGGCTTGCGCCAAAGCCGTTTTGATCTCTGTGAATGCAGTACGCGCAGTATCGTTCATTTCTAATCTGCATGGGTTTCCGTGAAGTAAGTCGGTTAGTGGTCGTAACCGTTCCGCCGCGTGTGAGGTGAAACGACGGTAGAAGTTAACCAAACCGAGGAACAATAATGGAGTTTAACGGAATCACAAAATGGCTGTAATTATCACAGTTAAACAAAACACATTAAAACAAGCACAGGTATAGTTGATTATAATAATAATTGTCTTCATTAAATCAATCGTGTTCTCGTGATAAAATTAAGTCACTACACATGCTACACAATATGTTGATAAGTTATCTGTCACTTAATTCAATTTGGTCATTTCAGAGATTTAAAAACAGGATGATTGCTACTGACGTGATAAAACATTACATCTGTGTGACGGGTTTTAATTCATAGACATGAATGTAGTGTTTTCTGTATGATCACATGTCAAACAAATGCAACAAATATTGCCCACATATCATATTCGGTGGATATTTTATATGTGGGATCTCATTCAACATAAAAAATACAGACATTCTTAATACTGCATGAGGTGAAGCGTTATATAGCCTATAACATTTAGTGATAAATCTCACTGGTAAAATTTGAAGAAAACATCCACATATCAAAGAAAAGGCACAACAGTTGTTTTAGGTAGAAACATTTTCGACAAGTTATTCAGGGAGACTTTATGATTTATTATAATATTCACACACCATATTTCAATCCAAACAATGGACTGAATTGAGGGAAGAATCGGCAATGTACATTAAATTCCTAACACTACGACTTCAGCTCAGAGGAAAGCGAATCGTAAAAACGGGTATGTGTAAGCTACCTTACGTTCTGGCCCTAAATGACTCTTAACACAATATCGTTGATAATTTTATTAAAAAGTTGTTACTTGTTATAGACAGGTTCGAACCAAATATTTGGAAACTGTAAAGTTATAGAGTAGGAGTACGCCAACTTAAGTTGGCTGGCGTACAGTTTTTCATTCACAAAAGCGTGTCAAAACTCACAGACAATCGGTGAAGAGTAAGGGGACTGGCTACATCACCTTAAATTATGTTAGAAACTGTTGATGTGAATTGTAAAACATTGAATCTGTCATACATATATTCAGTAACCATTTAATGACGACGCAATATCGTAAACAGCAGCAGATATTAGCTGAATGAAGTTCACCCAAATATAATGAAAAAAACTTTTGCGATCAAACGTGCTGAGAATTTGTAGCAAAGCACACGGAAAAGATGACCTTCATTATTAGTATTTAGGACGTTACTGATTTCTAGAAGGTGTGGCATACATTAATGTGTTTGAAGTGATCATGTTTACCAGATGAGATTAAATTGTTTTAGGACGTCTGTGTAAAGATAATCTTGCGAGTTAGTTGTAAAGCCACATATAGGATAATAACTAATCCACTGTTTGCTGAATTCTTATCTCAATTTAAGAAATTTTCTTCAATTCCAGACTAAAATTCTGCATAACCTGAGTATCAGTTAAGACACAATTGCAACAATTTTCTCATAAATGTACGTTCAAAGTATGCAAGTGCATAAAACACTTGAACGTTATTTCTTCAAGGTCATACAACCCAACTCGTATCCCAAGAATCGTCATAAATAAAAGCATTAGGCAGGAGTACAACTGGTTCTTTTTTGAAAAAAGAAAGATTATTAGAATGGGGGTTTGTGGAGATTTTATTGATTTTAATAGTGGAATTCATGAGTCGACCTAAACTACACCACCGTTGAAAACCTGGAAACAACGGACGGCTGTTTTGTTCTATTATGAGATTTCTTACCAGTGCGCACCCATGATCCCGCGCGTGGGACTCAAACCCAGGACCCTCGGTCTCGCACATAAACGCGACTCATGGACTCAACTGTTAAAATCACTACAACCTCCACAGCCCCCCATCCTAATAATGATCATGTGCTCACTAGTGAAAAGCCTCAAGATGGATTTCTTGAAGTTCTAGTGAGAAGCCGTGACCAGTGGAGACGAATCAATGTCGGGTAGAAACAGGTATCTGCCTCAGACAATGAATGAATGGTTTCACAAGATCATGCATCGATAGAAGTTAAGCATTAACGCCGTTGGATG